CTCTCTCTCTCTCTCTCTCTCTCTCTCTCTCTCTCTCTCTCTCTCTCGTCCCTTCATTGTATTTTAAATGCGATTAATTTTCTCCAGAACACACATTTTTCACTTTCTCTTTTCGTTTTTTTTTGTTCTTTCTTTTGGTTCCAAGTGGCAACCCAACTCGTTTCGAGCACAATAAATAATGTAAAAAGCTGTGTTTGGATGCGCTCGAGTGAACGACGACGAAACGCGTCTCGCTTTCACTTTTTGCATATAATTTTTTTTCCCAAACGGTTAAAGCTAGCGATTTTTTCTTCCGTTTCGCTAAACTTTTCTCTTTCTTTACCTCTTAGTTTCGCTCACTCGTCCGTATTCTGGTTCTTCTATTGCACACTCGCCAAATCTTCTACTTGTTCTCTCTAACACGTTTGCTTGTCCATTCACTTGCTCACCCAATCACTTGCTCTTATTCTCTATTCAGTTCTAACTCTGCCTCCCTCGTTCATTGTTCGCACATTCATTCCCTTCATCCATGCCCCAACTCGTTGGCCCATCCGTTCACCCGACTGATATCAATTTGTCAAAAACAATTCCATGGGAAAATTGCTTTTGTCTTGAGATTCATTATTTTCTCGCTGTCAAGCGAAAAGTCAAAACAATCAGATGGCATTTTTTCTGCGGTTCGTTCGCGGTCGGTGCGATTGAATTGAATTCCATGAAATTCGATTCGGTGTGTTGGCAGCAAAAGAGTTGGATGGAAATTAAATTTCGCAGTATACTCACTTGTCAAAAGTGGAAATCCACGCTTTTGACGGCTTTTTAATGAAATACAAATATACCGTCACTCATCCTCACCGCACAGCAGCTCGAGTATTATTGAAACCGTCCTAAGATCGGATTCTTTTCGGAAAAGTTTTCGGGAATGGGACAAAAGAAAAATGAGTATTCAAAATCTCAATTTAAATCATTTGATTCGCGTATTTTCTTTATGCCCGCGAAATTGATAGTCAAGGTAAAGCAATTTTGTCTCAAAGCATTTCGGTCTTCGTTTTTCCTTCTTCAAACATTTCTATGCCATTCTTTTTCATTCCATTCCAATTTGCTTGTTATCGTCTTTGGTTTGGTTTTCATGGAAAAATTGCGTCTTGTGTGTCGTGTTCATTTGATTTGTGTCGTTGAACGACGTTGTTTGTCTGAATGAAAATGATGAATTTCGGTCTGTGTTATTTGTTAAGCTTCCGCTTTGTCAATTTTCAAATTCAAATTTGATGATGAATTTGATTGACTTTCTTCATTTCGATGATGTCGCTCCTCTTGATACACAACAGATATACATATATCGAAACAGACGAAAAAAAACGTTCAGATTCCAGTCATTGTTTATTAAATGAACATTTGTTAGCATAAATTTGATGGGAATATGATGTTGTTTGATTTTAAATGCCAAACAAAAGCGCTCGCTCAAGAATCGAATAATTTTTGTTTTACATTTTACAAAACGAAATATTTGTATTTGCTTTGTGAAACAATGCGCAATACGGCACCCTCTCTCGCTCTCGTTCAAAATAACATTATTTGCATCAAATCAACCGCCCGAGGAAATGAACAAAGGCAACATCAACGATGACGACGACCGAACTGAACAAATGCGACGTAATAGCATTTCGCCGCGTTGAATTTGTTATCCATAACGGCTGAACAGCAGACACACACACACACAACTATGAAGTCATTAAAGAAATGTGCAAAGACCACCAATGCTGAAACCCATTTCCAGATTTATCGCTCTTTTATTACACTCACTCGTTTCATTCGATGGCGTTGCCGTTGTGTGCTCTATTCTCTACTCTTGAAACTTTCGCTCTTTTCCTCTTTTGTTCATTCGCTTTCTCTTTCGCTCCATTCTCTGTTCTTCATTCTCCTTCTGCTTTCTCTTTTTCACTCCTCTGCTATTTCTCTAACCCCCTCACGCACACACACACACACTCTCGCCTCACCGTCATCGTCTCGTCTTTCCCATTTTCATTGCTTCCGACTCGAGTTATCATTTCATTTTATTGAGACCGTGCCGTTGTCTGTTTGCTTTTTGTTTGTTTGAGTATGCGGCAATGTTTTCACAACTGTAAATCAGAGTGGTCGTTGAAAAGTGCTCCAAACAAACTGATTTTCTTTCTTTGCAACCCGAACAAGATTGCAGATATTTAAATGGCGCTGATACCGGTTCCGTCTTTGTGTTTTTTTTTCTATCTTAGATAGAGAGAATTACTTCTGGTGAAATAAATGGGTCAATTTGGATGTGCCCAAGGCTTGAAATTACAATCAAGATCTTGTTTTCGTGGTTTAGGTGGTTTTCCGTGGAAATGGCACACTTTGCGATTATTATCGCACCGGAATTGAAATTGAGCTTTGAAGGATGACAATTGCCATGGAAACAAAGTAGTATTCATTTTAAAATTGAATCACCCCAACGCATCTACATTTTCTTCATTCGGCAAATGTTGTGCATTTCCACAGAAATTGGAAAAATAATTTCTCTCTACTCAAAGTTTTACTACAGTGGAGCTTCATGATAAAATCATGATTAAAATTCATAGAATATGCAATTTCATTTCTCTCGAATCACTTTCATATTTCGATCAACAGAAGTGCCATGCCACAATTCTATTTAAAGTTTGGAAGCACTTTGCTACACGCTCCCAGCTATGTATGCACTGTGAAAGACACACGCAACTTTTTTAACCTGTTGAAAATATATATGCCATGATATATATCGTCAATTCAACGTCAATTTCGTACGGAATATGAGAGCGAATATGATTTTCACAATTTCCAGGAAATTTCCTGTGGGATACATTCTAATTTAGCACACATTTTCAGTGTAAATTGCTCAGTGGTCACTGGTCAGTGACTATAACCATCGGTCATGGCAAATGACTATGGGAATATCTGGGTTTTTACAAACAAAATAGTTTTTTTTTAATAAACAAAGTCACATGAATTTGTACAAGTTCAAGTGATATCCCACTCAAAATATAGCGTATATCACATTCTAGATCACATTTCGAACACAAACAATCATAAAATAGAACAATGGAACTTTGGGTTCTTTAGAAGGATAAACGGAATTTCTATTCGTATTTAGATTATTATACGGTGTTTTTAATCAACATTTTTCTATCCGAACCTGTGGCATGGTTCACCAAACCATGATTTGAACTCCCATTTCCGAATTGATATATGAAATTTTATCGATTTTTACATTTCACATTCTTCAGAACTTTTTGGTCTTTTTCGGATTGCTGGGTTAATCAATGAGAAATTTTAGCTTTTCATTCACTTTTTTCGTCATTTTTACTCTTCTTTGTCAAAGAACGCTGGCAAATTTTCTATTGATTGTGGCACTCTCACTGTGTATGCGTGTATAATTGTTTTTGCTGAAAGTGACAGTGCCATTTCGGCCAGTGTTCTATCTTTTTTTATTCTTTTTTTTCGCTTTTTGTTTTTTTTCTCGCTTTTCTTTTATCTTCATTTTTTTCTTTCTTCAATTTCATCCTCCGATTTTTCAACTGTTTCGCATTTAATCCCGTTTTTTTTTCGTTTTTCTCCATAAGTTATCATTCATTTCCATATATGCCAAAAGTGCGCTAAGAGTGCGAGCGAATCATTTTTTCCATTGAAACAATTTTCTACACCTTTATTCCATTCTCCATTGTGATCCAATTTTCTCTCTCTTCAAAAAACCTCAAATCACTAACCATATATCTTAACCTATTTGGTAGCAAACATTGCTTGCTTAATACCCCATACGATTATTTGGTTTCTTAAAAACTCATTTTATTCAAATTTCAAATAGAAGTTCTTCCCTACAAGAGAATTTCTCTTTTAGAAAAGCATCCTTGTATGCTCGTTGCTCATCGACTTCCTTCGTTTTCAATTCACCGAGGCTCGGTGACCGTGCATAAAAATGGCAAATGTTGCAAAATTGCAACTATGAAATATGCATACACTTCGTTATACATTTTCTTCCGTTTTGCGCATCCAAAATGCCGAAAACTTCTAACATTGTGCGGAGCACAATGTACGCTAAAGTCATTTGCGAAAATTCCAAGAAAACCTCCATCGATATTAGTGGATAATATATGTTGTGAATTTTGGCTTGCTGCATGAATATCATTTAACTTTAAAATGCGTCGTGTTCCCCGAACGACAACATAGTTGTCAAACAACGTATGTTTAAAATTGAAAAGCCACTGAAAACTTTCCGTTCCGATAAGTTTCCATGAGAAATGTATACTTTAGTTGAAGTTGAGGTCTATCCCGGTAGCTATTTGAAATTGGGGTTTGTTTCTTCGAACGCATTTTGTAACCTACATTTTGGATTAAAGTCATAAAACCCTTCATTTTCTTGTATCTCCCATTTTTTGTAGAAGAAAGTGGAAAAATCAGCTCGTGTGTCCGCTACGGTTTTCCCTATGAACGCGTTTAACTCGCGCGATTTAATTAAAATCTTAGCGCCGAAGACAAAAAAAACCACGCCATATTCTGTTTTAAACGAGCCATTTATCTAATTTTCGTGTTCAAAGGAGCTCAAAAGATGAAAATGTTTTTTTTTATGTGTTTCGTTGCCTACCGTTGCATTTTGCTAATTAATGTTTTGCATTGATTTCCACATCCACCTCCATTACTAGACCAAGATGTGCCGCCAGCTGCAAGAGAAAAAAAGAAAAGAAAATCCATTAAACTTCATTGAACAAAAGTAGCTAAGCAAGATGAAAGGGAACGTTTTTTCCTCTTTCGTTTTAATTGAATTTGCGTTTTGTGTGACAGCGCAAGAGAACGTATATTCGAAATACAACCGAGAAATTATTCGGAAATAAAAGTAGCCGTGAGTTGTTGGTAAAAGAGTTTTCATGGTGAACAAAAAAAATCTGCTTAAGTGCAGATGGAAAAAGAGTTGTTCAAATATTTGCTTGTGTCACCGTAACAAAGAGGCTGAGTAGGAAATTAAGGGTGGAAGCATACTCTCACCCATTTTCTCACTCTGAAAGTGATGGGTGGAAGAAGTCGGTGATGATGAAATGCGGTTCCATTGAAATGCAATGTTTTATTCCGTTTTATGTATACACCAAAATGCCACCACAGAAGAGGAAAAAAAACCACACGTACTGAAGTGTGTGTATGTACGGTTGTGTAGGCATAAACCTGTTGGATATGCTAATTTTGTACGTTTTCCAATCGACTGACGACGTCAACGTCGTATCATACCATCCACAAACCAAAATTCATAACTCTGATGTGTATTGAAGTTTTCTTTTGGGCTGGTAAAATTTCTCATCTTCGTCTTTTTTACGACTTCGTTTTGGATCTTTTGATGAGCTTCATAATAGATGGAGATTTTTTTTTTTAGATTTTACACGTTTTATCTGTATTTTCATGTGTTATTTTTGTTTCGTTTTAAGGTAAAATTTCTTTGAAATGCGTTCGTCGCTGTTTTCGACGAAACACGATTGAAGTCCGCCCAAGTTTGCCACATCAATATTGAAATGACGTTAGAAATTCTGGGGAAAAAAATACGGAAAATTATCCGGAACATAAAATGTTTGTGTGCTTTAAGCTTTTTGTGACGCTTACTTCTGATTCTCTTTCATTTCGTTTTTTATTCTCGTTTTGCCTCCAAAGTTAATCGGATTCGTGTCACGAAAATATCGAAAGCAAACACACATGCCGTGCGGTGTGTTTGCTGCAATTCAAATACAAACAAAACGTGGATTTTCCAACATATTCGAAATCAAACCAACGGCTGCTTTTTTTATACATATGCAAACATATCCAGTGAAATTGGAAAGATACGAGACGCGTTCGGGGTTCACACAGCATTCAGAGAGTGGCAATTGAATGAGGTTTTTCCACGGATTTATACTATCCAACAGGAAAAAAAACACATCCAATTTATGTGATGATAAAAAGGGGAGAGAAAAAGGGAGAGAGAGAGATGGTGAAAAGAGAAAAAATCGATTCGAGTTGTTGAAAATACCAAAACATGCAATTCCTTTGGTCTCTATTTTTAGCATCGGCCACACAAATACACACAACAAGTGGCGATGACTATCTAGCATACTATTTTACCTAGACCATTTATTTATTTGTCGACAAAACGCCAACGGGTGAATCAATGTGTGGCCCACAGTGTGAATGTGAGGGACGGTGGGCTTATTTACGATGGTCGTGATACGAGAACCATGTCGATGGAAACGGATGATATGATAATGTAAAAATTAATTCCGTTCCGAAAAGAGAGAAAAACACACGAACGAGTCGGTCCATAGGTCATATTTGCGATAAATCATTTTCCGTGTGGGAAACCAGGTGGTTTTGCATGTTTTTACGTTAGCTATTCGTTTCATCGATTCTACGTCAACCGAGTTCGTTTGATGTTGTGTAATTTTAGAATGTGATGACTTCAACTGTATTTGCAATGACGATATTCCGAAGTCGATTTCAGTGTCGACTGTTCATCGAACCACTGAGCCAACAGTTGTGCCGGAAACACTGAGCCCCGTAGTTGATGCCATTGAAACAGAACATTTTGGTATTCAAAACCATTGAGACAGAATGAACTAGTTGAAACCACCGTGTCAATACCATCGCATTGAATTCGACAAATTGAAGCACCGAAATAGAATCAGCACTTATAAATCAATTCCATCGTATTATTTTCGTCGACTCGTCGAAATATTGCTCACACATTAAGCACTCACTTCCGCTTCACCGGAAGACTATTAAGAGATTTTGGTTAACAATCCGATTACCTTCACTGGCGCGCACATATGCAAATGGAATAAGACGGTTTTAATCGCTTCCATTTGGCAATGGTAATGAAACGTAATTATTTCCATTTTGTAACCCAACATCGGATTACACCCGATTTACACCCGATGGAAAGTAGCAGTTACATTGAACTCTCTAATTTCGTGTGAGTAGCACTATTTGATTACTTGCTCTGGAGTGTTGACGAAGTTTCATCTTTTGTTTTGACGTTGTTGCTTGTACCCTGTCTCTCTCTCTCTCTCTCTCTCTCTCTGCGAATGATTTCACTACCTGCCTCAATCTTACCGCTCGGTTTCCCTATTTAGTTCTCTTTCTTACTCCCTATTGCTCATCTAAAACGAGCGCTCTTTGTCTTTTTTTCGTTATCTATACCTCTTTTGCTCTTATTACCGCTCTCTTCTTACATTTCCATGATTTCTTCTCGTTCTCTTTCCTTTTCCATTTCCTCTTCCCAACAAAGCCCAAAAGAGTCGCACTTCGACCGTGACTAAGGAAAAATAAATCACATTGATAATAAAATTCAATTTTCGATTTTTTTTTCCCACTTTCTCGCCGTCTATGTGTGTTTGGTTTGGTGCTGCCAAAAGTCTTGGTCCCATCACGCCAAAAGTAACTTTACGTCGAAGAATTTTTGCCGAATGAGCGGAATTCAAAAAAAAAAAACCACAACAATCTGCATTTTTTACGAAATTTCTTTATCATGACGAGACGATTGGAAGATTTGTCACTGACGTCTCGGCGACCTTGATCCGCTACTCGATCAAAATGCTGGCGTTGTGTGGCACTTTGTTTGGGTTTTTTGGGCGCAAATGATATGGCATTATATGAGTATGGCCCTCAGCTTCGTTCGTAACGAAATTAAAAGCACCGTTCATAAAGTATGGGTGAGCGAACGGGAGAATGAGTGTCGATTGGGTGAATGAGAGGTAGAGAATGAGTCAGAGTTCGAATGTAAAAAGGAATAGGAAAGAGTGTAAATTCAAATGCTAGAACAAGAGAGTGAAAGTAAGAGTGAGAGTATGAATGAGAGTGAGTGTGAGTGTGGAAATGGGCTTGTACTCAAGAGAAGGAGCATTACAGTGAAAGAGCAAACGTTAGCCCAAGAGAGATGGAATGGTAACGCGAATGAGAGTGAAAGCGAGATATCAATAATCTTTGTGCGAGTGAGCAGATTTCGGAATTGTTTCGTCAACAAAAAGTTTTACCACACTGCAAACAGATGCTCCCCATGCTGCTCTACCATCACCGTATACAAAACAAATCATTGCATCGGTCTCCCCAGACGAATTGAAACACATAACAATAAAAGCGGCCCGTACAATTGAAATGACGTACTGAATACCCGCAACCGCTAAATCGCTTCACGTAACTGTGTTCTTTTGTGTTGATCCGTTCGAAATAGATGCCGAATGCGAGCAAGAGAGCACACAAAACTGAAATGTACGTAAATTTTTGCTGTAAATATGACGTTAAACGATGTACAATATTTACTTCGTGTATTTCTAATGTGAGGGCTTTTCATGCGGATTTTCCACCGTCGTGAAGTTGTTCAGTTTTCCCTTGACAAGGTGCAAGGTTAAAATTGATGACATCGATCACGCAAAATCCCATGCATTTTGCATTTTTTATCACCAACACACTAACATATTGAATCGTGTGAAGAGTATTTTTCAATTTCAATACTTGTCACCTTGTCACAAAACAACACTACAACCAAACACCTATTTTATATTCATTTCGAAGTGACATGCTTCTGCTAATACCATGTGTCACGGAACATTCGTTTTGCGATGAGAAAAGAACAGATGCGGAAAAAATGTGCCATACCTTGGAAACTATTTACCTTTAAATGCTATTTTTGGGTGCTTTTGAATGGCATGGGTTACAACCCGTGGCATTGGTATGAAGAAAAAAAATCAAAGTTTCTGTGCATAAAATGAGCATATTCAATCATTTCATGATACCATTTATTTATACAAAGATTGCACTTTGATTTGAATTTTACACGAAAATCAAATATAGAAAGAGGGAAAGAGGTATATGGAAGAGTATGGTTAATCTCTCAAAGGAATATGCAAATGTTTGCCTTCTTCTGACTTTTTATGTGTTGACTTGAGAGAACTTCGCTCTTGAAAAATGGAGAATGCCATGACAAGCCATTTGAAAGTGTGAAAATTTGCAAAGAAAAACCGGAAACGCAGCTGTAATGCATCTACACCACTTTCCGCTCTGAATATTTTCGTGATGGTTTCACCACCAACTTGATGGAGAAGCATTGTTGATTGTTTCGAATATTTCAAACGAGCGAAAACTAATGCCACAAATATTATTTGTGAATTCACACTCCAAGTGTTGCATTTTTCATCATAAACGTTTGTTGTTGTTGTTGTTGTAAGTGATGCACAATGCACATGTCATTTTGCTTCGGTTCGTACAATCAGAGTTTGACTTATCCGCCAGATATATGCTATGGCATAAAAAAAATATGCGCATATTTTTTGGTACATTTGGATTTTGTGACAAACTTACCATGTAAATTCATGTGTATTCCACGATTTTTTGTGGATCCCACGATTTTTTGTCCCAAATTCGTGGAATGCACATGAATTTACATGGTAAGTTTGTCACAAAATCCAAATGTACCAAAAAATATGCGCATATTTTTTTTATGCCATAGCATATATCTGGCGGATAAGTCAAACTCTGCGTACAATTTTCCATCTGCTTCACTTCATGATTTGGTTTAAGTTTTAAATATCTTTAGTGGCAATTAAATTGGTTTGACTACCAAATTGGCACCACTTATATTCAATATTGATGAAATCACACATTGTATGTGTACCATATTTTATGACCTCTTAAAGTGAAATACTTCAAA